GGAGGAGGAGGAGGAGGTGGAGCGCGGGGTGACGTAACAAGCTCTCAACGCCAAGGCTCCCAGTACGAACGGTGGTGTGAGTACTTTCGGTCAAGTTCCTGAAGCGCTCTTTCCGTTTCCGTGCCGGCCCAGGTCTAGTGGCTTTCGGTCCATCCCGCCACCGCGCCTTGGACCGATCGTTCGGCGACTCGAGGCCCTCTTAGACCGTCTAAGAGGTCTTTTGGGGTCCTTTTGGCCCGTCTTTGGGCCCTCGTGGGCCAGAGCAGATTATGCGGGAGGACGCCCCAGGCGCGGCATTTGTGCTCCGGGCCCGTTGCCAGATCTTCAGGATAGAGGACTGAGGCTTGGGGGCCTAGACAAGGGACCTAAAGACACTCCAACTCTTACGTTGCATCTTTGGGGGACCTCGCCTGTCCCGCAAATTGGTGTCTTTTCTTGTGCCCGACGCGGGCTCTATGCAGACTCGACGTGGATTTGGCGTGGATTCGACGCGGATTCGGCACGGATTCGACACGGATCCGACGAGACCGACGTGTATTCTACACGGATTCGATGCGGATAGGGCCGCGACGGGACAGTTAAGGTCCCCCGAGGATGCAACTTAATTGAGGACACCCAAACTCGTCCCTCGCAGGCACGGTTGCAGATCATGACGTCGTCTTCGTCTTTGGATTTGCCTTCGCGGAGCGTGGCGATCCCCCCTCGCGCGGGCACCGCCGGCCGACGCACTCTGTGCCGACTCGGTCGATCTCGCTGGGCGCCTTCTTTCGGCTACGCGCAGGAGTGACTCTTCGCCGGAGTGACCTTTGGGTGCGGTCCCGAAACGTGACAATCGAAATGGGTACGGAAAGAAGGGGCACAGAGACCGACAGCAGCTCCCGTTCGTTTTGAACAGGGCTCGCTGGCCGCGCTGCCGCGGACGTGGTTTTCTCTGAAGTGGGAAAACAAGCAATGACATAAACATAAAAACTCGGAGGTCCGCACGGATTGCTCGGATCGGCGCTGGACCCCAGCTCCCTGGCGCGCGGAGCGCGCCAGGGGCGGCGCCGGAGGCGCCGCCAGGGGGCCCCAGCGCGGATCCGAGAGATCCGCACGAACCTCCGAGTTGTTGTTGTTTATGTCATTGGTAGTTCCCCTATCTTTGAAGACAACCAGCCGCCTGCCCAGCAGTGGCCGATGCCGGTTTGTGCTGTTGGGCACTGTGTCTGATCTCTTTCCGTGCCAGGGGTGAATCGGCCAGTGGGGCCCAGGCGACGCCGGCGGGGATGGGGATCGGTGGAATCGATGCCAGCAACATATGTACACGTACGCGGTGAGCTTCCCCTGGAGGGCGTTTGAACGAGGACGTTCGTGCACTCAAGATCGCAGAGGGCGTACATGTACATATGTCGTTGCTCGCTCAGTGGAATCGATGCCCGGGGCCGCTGGCCCAACGGCGGCCGGTGTCGGCCTCTACTGCTGGGCGCTGCGTCGGCCCTGTCCGTGCCCACCTCTGGGCGTCCAGAGAGCACGGGGCCTGCGCGCCTGGGTCCGGTGCCCGGAAGCCGCGTTCCCCAGAGGCCGCTCCTGCCTGGGGCCAGGCCGGGCCCGTCCCGCTGCAGGTCGGGGGCGGAAAAGAGGGGGGGGATGACTAGGGGGGGGTGGATATCATGGCGTGGGCCATGATATTTCCCGTGATTTCATGGCGCCGCTTCTCATTTCATTGCGTCCCTGGCCCCCCCGCTGGGCCGCGGCACATGCCACCGGTCATGATTTGCACCCCCCCCTCTTGGACACCCCCCTCTTGGCCGCTCCCGAGCAGGGAGGGCATGCCCAAATAGTCAGAACATGCTCTGGGGACGATGTTTCGTTTTTTTTTGTTTTTTTTTTTGGGGGGGGATTATTTCTGCTCTTTTGACTGCTTTTTGTATTTTCCGTCCAGAATCCGCCTGTAGGAGGACATGCCCGACCTAGGCCTGGGGTCACTCTTGGGCGTAGCCGATGCTTCGCTCCATTCCGCTCTCGGGGGCAGCCCGCTGGGGCCCTCGGCTCCCGTCGGGGCTGGCGGAAGGTGGGGATCCGGGGTGCGAAGTTTGCCGCATGCAGCCGGTTTCGGCTCTGCCGCCAGGCCCTTTCCTCGATGCACGGCCTCCTCTTGTTCCAGGAGGCGCTGGGAAAGCCATCTGCGTGCAGGTGATTCGCCAGGCCCTCCTGTTGCTGTCCCCTCCTGTCGCCCGCCCTGAACTTGGATCCTCCAGCTTCTGGAAACAAGTCACAACGAAGATTCTTTGTAGTTTTCGGCCTCCAGGGGCAGTTTCCGAGCCCAAGGACAATAAAACAATGACCTGCTCAGGAGGGGGCGCACAAGCCTCCGTAAAGGGGAATCTAGATGTCTGGGGGCCACGCGCTGAAAAATCGACACGTCCGAGGTCTGGCGAGCCTGCACGGGGCCGGAAAGCAGCACGATCAGATCTTCAGGCAGGGCCACCAGCCCAGGTGCCATCGGACGTCTTGTGGGTTTGGGGGCCCATTTCTGTCGTTCTTCGGGTCGCGTCGCACGAGCGCGCCCGGAGATAGAGCGGTCTCGCAGCAAGAAGTATCTATCGCATAGCGGCACTTGCGCCGCGGTGGCCGAGATTCTCATGAGAAATGCGGAGTGTGAGCAGGACGCCAGTTTCCAGGAGGCCCCAGCGTCCTCGGCTGCGGCATTCACCTCAATGAGCGCAGGCCAGCCGGATCAGAGTAACGGTTGGTGGACTCGTGTGCCTTCTGGTACGTCCCATTCGATTTTGACCTGTTTTCGTGATCTCGCGAGCGCTGTGCTGTTTCGCCGTGGCGGAAAGGGGTTCTGAGGGAACGTGTCCTAGACCTTTTGGGCTTTCTCCGGGGCTAGCTCTGCATCTTGGGTGGTTTTCTGACGGTTCTGCGGCCCGCCGAGGGCCCTGTAGGGGCCCGAGAGCGGCCAAAAGTTCCAGGGCCCTTCTCCGCCAGGACCCGTGTCCTTCATGCCAAGCAGTGTTGCCTCTCTCCCTTTGCGTCCCCTCGTCCGATGGTCAGCTTCCTTGCTCCCCCCTCCTCAGGACGGGAAGCTGTACGCGTGGGGCTCCAACGCCAACGGGCAGTTGGGCTTGGGCCGTCTGGACGATCAGGATACACCGCAGGACGGTCATTTCGCGCACTGATCGTCATACTCTTCTGCTGTCGACAAGCGACCCAAGGGCACAACCATGGAACGCTTGCAACGGTCCGGGCGGATTCTTCTTTTCGCGGACGACATGTATGCACCGTACCGCGTTGGTGCCTCCCGAGGCGTCGTCGACTCTCGACCCAGGAGTGGTGCACTGCACGGTCTTCTGGCCCCCAGAGCCGAACAAACTGTGCACCGTACTGCGTCGGAGCGGGGCCTGAACGGAGTCCAGGCATGGCACGGTGCGCTGGCGCCGTTCTCGTAGTCTTGGGTCGGCGCGGGCCCCCCTGGCAGCGACCCCCCGGCTCTCGCCCCCGACGCGCTTCGCGCGCCAGGGGACGGGGGGGTCAAGCACCAAGCAAAGAGAAATCTGCGCGCACCTCCGAATGTTCTTGACTTGACTTTGCGGCAGTGCAGCTTGTATTTTTTGGGGCGGCCCAACGGCCCCCCAGCAAACCGTCCGCGGCCGTGGCGCCCCCCTCGCCTCGCCCCAAGACGCATGATTGCGGCGCCGGAGAGGAGCTCGAAATGCGAGGGTGACGTCACGGAAGGGGTTGGTTTGCCTGGGGTCGGTTAGGCTGCGCCCAAGTGGAGTGTTCCAAAAAGGGCCTCGCCTTCGAGGATAGAAGGAGTTGCCATCTCTTCCGCCGTGGAAGGCGGCGGAAGGCCGGCGGAAGGCCGGCGGAAGGCCGGCGGAAGGCAGCGGAAGTAAAACAAAAGTCGCCCTCAAGAGATGGAACCGTTTTTGGGTTCAGGGTTTCCGACGTCGCCCAAGCATGGCTCAGCCCGGAACTCTTGCCATTCCTTCTGGGTGCTCTTTCCGCGGGGATGGGGCCACAGGAGCGCTGACGTCTCGGGACGCGTGAAGCGCGGCCCCTCCCCCCGACTTCAAGAGCCCACACGGGAAGCGCGCAAGCACTGGGTACGCCAGGAGTGAGAGATGGAGGACGAGGGGCAGGGCTCGTTTCGATTCCTCCGATTCGGTTCGATTCGATCTCGACGATTTCCGATTCCGATTCGATTCGACTTTTGATTCCGATTTGGGCTCCGGTTTCTCAACGGAGGCCTACTAGCCTGCCGAGTTCCGCCGATTCGCCTTTTCCCGACTCGGCTGCCGATTTCCGCCGATCCGATTCATTTCGATCGCCGACCCGACTTATCGATTCGATTCTGGGCTCTCCCGGAGGGGTAGGAAGAGGTTTGATTGAATGTCGTATGCTACGGATGCAGCGATTTGTTTCGCACAGCTGCTTCGCACATCGCCACGAGGAAGTACACTTCTCTCGGGCAGTAGGTGCCGTATCGCTGCACCTCAGCACTGCAAGGATTGTATTTTCCAGCAGAATAAGCGAAAAAGTACGGCACAGGGAAGAGGAACGTGACGGATAGAGGAGTTGGCGGCGAAATAATGGGGAAGTTGCTACACATTTACATTGGTAGATGTTCTTCTGTGTCGACAATTGCTATCGCTATTACGTGTAGTGCGACCAAGATCGGCTCCCACCAGCGGGCGACCTGCGCGCCTTTGTGCGATTCCTGTTTGGTGTACTTCCGAACGTCGGGACATGTCGGTCTCTGCACATCTCCCCACTCGATTGGCCTTCGGGAGGGGTGGGAATGTTTAGGTCACCAGTCGCACCCGGTTAGGTTGCAACCCCCGGGAGGTGGAATCTTGGGTTCAATCTTCTCGTATCCCCGCCGCTCCATTCAGAAAAGATGACCAGTGGAGTTGTCGGGAAGAGGGATGTAGTCGATCAACAGATAATGAAGCAACGAGGCCAGGAATGGTGAAATTCGAAATCTCTAGATACCTTTTGGAGGCCCCGTGGCGCCATCTTGGAGCCCTCGTTGGGCCTTTCGGGAGCCTTTGAGGTGCTCTTGGCGCTCCCTGGGCTCTCTTTCGGGCTCTCCTCTCGGAGCCATCCTAGAGCTCATCGATCAAAAAAGAGGGCGGCGCTAATTGCTCTCCTCCCCACCCCCCTCCTTCTTGGAGCCAGAACATTATTTCTTGGTGCTCTCTTGAGACGCTCTCGGGGTGCTGTTGGGAGCCTCTGCGCCCGTCTTGGAGCCCTTATCGGCCCTTATTGGGGCTCTCTTGGGCGATCTTAGAGCCATCTCGAGACCTTAGATGCCAATCGGAAGCGAAAGGGTGAGAAGACACACGTCATTCAAGCATGTCCCATCTTGACAGATTTTGGTCTCTCGGAGGCATCTTTGGGAGGCTCTCAGGGCCCTCTTGGGGCCTCTTGGGGCCCTCTTGGGGCCTCTCAGGGCCTCTTGGGGCCTCTTGGAGGCAGGTTGGAAGCTATCTTGGGACAGCTTGTGCCATTTTGGAGGCCATCTTGAAGCCATCTTTGACCATCTCGGGTGCTCTGACCGTTCGCTAAACCTTGGTCCCGACTCCAAGGGGGTGACGTCCCCTAATAGAACGGGTCAGTCCCTCAAACCGTCCCTCGGCCACAGGACCGGCGTGTCGCTCTCCCATCTTGGACTCGACAAGGCATGACAAGGCGAGATGGCCTCCAATACGCCCTCCAAGGTGGCACATGATGGACCAAGATAGGCCAAGATGGCCTACACCATGCCTCCAAGATGCCTTCAGACCGCCACAGGATGGCCCGAGGTTGGCATGGAGCCTTCGAAGGACGGCCCCGCGAGGTCAAACATCTGCAACAACCACTTCCAAGAACTTTGTGACCGTGGCGCCTTCTCTTTTCGATGGGCTTTCGAGGTTCCGAGATCGTCCAGGAGAGCCCCAGGATGGCCCAGGAGGGGCTCAAGACGGCGCCAGATGCTCCCAAGGTGGCCCCGAGAGAGGCGAGAGGGCCCCAGCGGGGCCCCAAGCCCGGCCCAAAGCTCGAGAAGGCCCACGACGTCAAGCGCACTCGGCGCTCGGCAGGCCCCCCCCAGCAGCTCCAGGAGAGCTCCGAGGGCTCCCGCTGCGCCCCCAAAGCGTGTCCTGCGTGCCCCGACGTCAGCTCAGCCCCGAGGGGTCCCCTCCTGCCCTCCCAGCAGGGCTTCCTCGTGCCCTCGTCCTTCTCTCTGGGGTTGGCCAGGTGCGACCCCCGCGCCGGACTGCCAGCCACGACCGGCCCATAGGCACAAGAGGGTGGTGCTGCGACGTGCGGCGCTCAGGATTATCCGGCTCCCATCGTACTTAAACACCACATTCCAGAACTGATTTCGAGCACCCAGAAAAGTATCGAAACAGTGTCGAACGAGTATCGTCTCCCAGGGCCCGACACGTGACATCCCTCCGGTTTCGGTACTTTCTTGGTGCTCGAATTTTTTTCTGGTGATCAAGGCTAAAGGAGGTTGGCGCATCATAAGTTCAGGAGGGGCAAGCCTCCCCCGGAATGTGCACCATGGGCTTGATCTGAGGATCTTGCTGAACCACCTGCGCCCGGAGGGCTGGTGGGATGAAACATCGTCCCTTGTATCTCATCAGCTGCCGTCCAACCTCCTCCGGCTGAGTGTACTGAACTTTGGCTCGGTGGCCACCACATCCGCGTCGGTGCTGCCTCATCGTGCTCACGGAGGCCTCCGAGGAGCTGCCACCGGACCCCTGTCAGGCAGACCCAGGAACAAGATGGCCTCGGCGCCCGATGCGTCCGCTCTCAGAGTCCAGACTTTGCCTCGCCCCGCTCTGCTCTTCTTCTCGCCGTCGTCCTGCCATGGCTCGCCACGGGTCTCTGTCCCCGGTTGGCCTCCGGAGGCCTCGGGACACCCCTCAGATCCAAGGGCACCACTCACACACTGGCACCGATCCTGGCCAGGCCGCTGCTGGGCGCAGGATTGGCGTATAGTTGAGTCGAGCATGTCCTTCTGCAGGAGGAATCTTCAAACATAGCCAAAACATAGTATGGGGACAATTTTTGATTATTTTTGATTTTTTTCGATTCTCGAATGTTTTTCAGCTTTCGTCCCAAATCCGCCTGTATGAGGACAGGCCCGACCTAAATGTATATGCCTTCGTGCCCAAGCCAGGAGGGCGTATACACCAGTCCTGGGCCCAGGATGGGCCTGATCAGGAGGATCGGTGTAGGCATATAGTTGGTGCCCTCCCCTCAGAGGCCAAGAACATCCAACAGCCTCGCTCATCGTGGGCTTGCCATGGGTGCCCCCGCGCCTGCCAACCAGGCCGTCGAGGTCCTCACCAGCCTGGGGGTCACCTCCATGGCGTGCGGCGCCCGGCACTCCCTGGTGCCCCCCCTTCCCTTTTTCCGCCGCCGCCGCCCCGAGGGACTCGTCGGCCGTCTTCGCCGTCGTCGGTGTCGTCGTTGGCCGTCGGCCGTCGGCTGGCGGCCGTTGGTCGTCGGTCGTCGGTCGTCGGTCGTCGGTCGTCGGTGTGGTTGGTGTCGTCGTCGTCGTCGTCGTCGTCGTCGTCGTCGTCGTCCCGGACCCCATCGTCCTCGCAGTCGGTCCTGGACCCCATCGTCCTCGTCCTCGTCGTCGGTCCTGCATCGTCGTCGCCCTCGTCGTCGTCGTCGTCGTCGTCGTCGTCGTCGTCGTCGTCGTCGTTGTCGTTGTCGTCGTCGTCGTCGTCGTCACCTCCAGGCGATTAGCATTTCGCCTCCGCCAATGACACAAGCTGGACCGAGGCAGACCCAATATTAGAAAGCTTCAGATCCAAGCGTCCCAGAAGCATCGCGATGTTTTTTTTGTTCCCTTTGAGCCTCGAGAGCTTTGTTTTCGGGCCCACACGCAGTCAAAAACGACTCGGGATAAAGGATTCCCCCCCTGGAAAAGGTCTGGAGCCCTGGGGGCTGATGGCTCTGGCAGTTGGATTAATTGTTCCGGCCCGTGTTGATGAGACTTTCACCGTGCATCACCAAAATAGACACCACCAAACCTGCCATCTGATTGCGGCAGAGTTTGCCACCGTGCCGCCGTGGTCAGCGCATTGGCAGACTGCTCGATCCAGCGCGGTTTTTGTAGGGAGTCAACTCCAGCCCGATTCTGGGTGTTCGTTGGTTGGGTGTTGCCCCGAAGCTCTGTGTAGTTAAGGCAGTGGGTCCACAGGCTCCTCTTTGGGAGAACCGCTGGCCTCTGTTCACACTCGACAAGGATGATCTAAGGACGGGGGATGAGCAGGAGGATCAGGAAAAACTTCCCGCTCATACTTAAACCACTATGCATTACATGTTGCGTCGGCGGCGAGGCAGGGGAAGGCTTCGCTAGCGGAAATGCCTAAACGGGGATGCCGTTCTGGCGAGTTGTGCCACCATGCAAGAGGAGGAGGGGAGGAGGAGGATGATGATGAGGAGGAATCATAATATTAATAGTGCGAATAACAGTAATAGTAACATTACTAATAACACCAGTATGAAGAATAAGATCAGCACGAATACTTTTATGAATGAAAATAACAATACTGATAGTAAGAAAATGATACTAATGCTGACCGTACCATTAACAGTATGAATAATAATAACATTAATAGTCGTAATAATACCAACAATAATAAGAGGAGGAGGAGGAGGAGGAGGAGGAGGAGGAGGAGGAGGAGGAGGAGGAGGAGGAGGAGGAGGAGGAGGAGGGAGGAGGAGGAGGAGGAGCGCGGAGAAAGAGGGGGCGGGAGAAGCGAGCCGCTCAGGGGGACGGGTCACGCCCCGAGCGCGTGGCGCGGCCAGCCCCGCCGGCGGGCCCGCGGCGGCTGCTGCGACGGCGGGCCGTTGCTACTAGGCATTACGTTCGAGCTCGTGCCTCTCCAGCAGGCCTCACCGGAATGCCCGGGCCCACGGGTTCCCTTCAATCAGAGTCGCGCGTTGCTGTGTCCTGCGCCAGATAATAGCGCACGTAAAGCGCGCGGTGTGTCCAAGTATAGGTTATGCATGGTTTGTCGTAGGTCTTTATAGGCTATGTATGACGTTTCATCTGTACATGTTCGCCCCGAGACATTACTGATCAATGCGTCACTCTCTAAACTACGTTGTACGCTCGTCAGGCTATCCTCCATGTTAATAGAGAGAGAGAGAGAGAGAGAGAGAGAGAGAGAGAGGCGTGGCGTAGTTCTTTTTAAAGGTGTGTTGAATCTGGCTCGGGTTATGGCTATCGCGGGGGATTTGGTCGGTGATCTCCACCTGCCTGCGGTACACCCCGCCACCGTGCCAGCCTAGCACCTCGGGTGGCGACTGTTTGGGTTGCGCGCAGGATGCCGTAAAGTGTGACACTTCGTGTCCCGATCCCCAGGGGCCGTAACATGTGACACGCTCTTCCGCGTTGTGTCGGGGGTTCTCTTGTCGTCCTCGTCGCCTTCCTTTCTTCTGCCCTTTCTTGGGCTCCTGTGAGGCAGTCTTGGGGGTTTCTTGGGTCGTATTGGGGCCCTCTTGGGCCGTTTTGGGGCTCTTTGGGGACGTCTTGGGGCCCTCTTGGGCCGTCTTGCGGGCGGGCCCCTTTCGGCCGTTGTGGGGCTGTTTTTGGCCGCCTTCCATTTCTCCCAGCAAACAGGTTTTTTTTCCCAAACATCCTGTGGTGTTGGGTCCTCGTTTTGAAGAGACGGTGGCCCGCGTCTCCTCCTCTCCTCCTCCTCCCCCTCATCCTGCGTGTGCCCGCATGCGTCCCGCACACCCATTTCGGCACACGCCTCACACGTTTCGTGGCCCCATAAGGAGCTCCACCGAAGGTCCCAGTGGGTGTGCCCGCATGCGTCCCGCACACCCATTTCGGCACACCCTCACACGTTTCGTGGCCCCATAGGGAGCTCCACCGAAGGCCCCAGTGGGTGTGCCCGCATGCGTCCCGCACACCCATTTCGGCACACCCCTCACACGTTTCGTGGCCCGATAGGGAGCTCCACCGAAGGTCCCAGTGGGTGTGCCCGCATGCGTCCCGCACACCCATTTCGGCACACCCCTCACACGTTTCGTGGCCCCATAGGGAGCTCCACCGAAGGTCCCAGTGGGTGTGCCCGCATGCGTCCCGCACACCCATTTCGGCACACCCCTCACACGTTTCGTGGCCCCATAGGGAGCTCCACCGAAGGTCCCAGTGGGTGTGCCCGCATGCGTCCCGCACACCCATTTCGGCACACCCCTCACACGTTTCGTGGCCCCATAGGGAGCTCCACCGAAGGTCCCAGTGGGTGTGCCCGCATGCGTCCCGCACACCCATTTCGGCACACCCCTCACACGTTTCGTGGCCCCATCCAGGGAGCGTCGAAGGGGTCCCAGTGGGTGTGCCCGCATGCGTCCCGCACACCCATTTCGGCACACCCCTCACACGTTTCGTGGCCCCATAGGGAGCTCCACCGAAGGTCCCAGTGGGTGTGCCCGCATGCGTCCCGCACACCCATTTCGGCACACCCCTCACACGTTTCGTGGCCCCATAGGGGGCTCCACCGAAGGTCCCAGTGGGTGTGCCCGCATGCGTCCCGCACACCCATTTCGGCACACCCCTCACACGTTTCGTGGCCCCATAGGGAGCTCCACCGAAGGTCCCAGTGGGTGTGCCCGCATGCGTCCCGCACACCCATTTCGGCACACCCCTCACACGTTTCGTGGCCCCATAGGGAGCTCCACCGAAGGTCCCAGTGGGTGTGCCCGCATGCGTCCCGCACACCGATTTCGGCACACCCCTCACACGTTTCGTGGCCCCATAGGGAGCTCCACCGAAGGTCCCAGTGGGTGTGCCCGCATGCGCCCCGCACACCCATTTCGGTACACCCCTCACACGTTTCGTGGCCCCATAGGGAGCTCCACCGAAGGTCCCAATGGGTGTGCCCGCATGCGTCCCGCACACCCATTTCGGCACACCCCTACACGTTTCGTGGCCCCATAGGGAGCTCCACCGAAGGTCCCAGTGGGTGTGCCCGCATGCGTCCCGCACACCCATTTCGGCACACCCCTCACACGTTTCGTGGCCCCATAGGGAGCTCCACCGAAGGTCCCAGTGGGTGTGCCCGCATGCGTCCCGCACACCCATTTCGGCACACCCCTAGCAGGTTTCGTGGCCCCATAGGGTTCTCCGCCGAAGGTCCCAGTGGGTGTGCCCGCATGCGTCCCGCACGCCAATTTCGGCACACCCTTCAGGCGCTTCGTGGCCCCATAGGGAGCTCCACCGAAGGTCCCAGTGGGTGTGCCCGCATGCGTCCCGCACACCCATTTCGGCACACCCCTCACACGTTTCGTGGCCCCATAGGGAGCTCCACCGAAGGTCCCAGTGGGTGTGCCCGCATGCGTCCCGCACACCCATTTTGGCACACCCCTCATACTTTTCGTGGCCCCATAGGGACCTCCACCGAAGGTCCCAGTGGGCGTGCCCGCATGCGTCCCGCACACCCATTTCGGCACACCCTTCACACGTTTCGTGGCCCCATAGGGAGCTCCACCGAAGGTCCCCGTGGCGCAGTCCGCATGCGTCTCCCTCACCCAGTACAGCGTTTCGTGGCCCCGTTGGAGCCCCACCGAAGGTCCTCGTAGCGCAGTCCGCACGCGTCCCCCTCACCCAGTACAGCGTTTCGTGGCCTCATAGGGAGCTCCACCGAAGGTCCCCGCGGACGACCCGCGCGCGTCGCTGGGACCCTCTCGGGGCGACCAGCGCGCGTCGCAGGAGCTCCGTGCTGCGTTCTGCCCAGTGCCTCGCCCGCCCGTCGTCGCTCTGCCCAGCGGCAAGAGCTTTGCCCGCTATCAGCCAGCCAGCTAGCTCTCTCTGCTCCGCGCAGCGGACGACCCGCGCGCGTCGCTGGGACCCCTCCGGGGCGACCAGCGCGCGTCGCGGGGACTAGCCAGCTAGCTCTCTTTGCTCCGCGCAGCGGACGACCCGCGCGCGTCGCTGGGACCCTTCCGGGGCGACCAGCGCGCGTCGCGGGGACTCCGCGCTGCGCTGCGCCCGCAGCCTTGGACTTTTGAGTGCGCGGGCCAAGAGGGAGTAAAAGAAGGGGGGAAGCGGGCGCGATCCTCGCGGGGGGGCGCGCCGACATTGGCGTCGCAGCGCGCGGGCGATGTCGTCGGGGAGTCCCGGGGAAGCTCCTTGCGGCGGCCACGCCCAGCGTCACGAGTACTCAGAGGCAGTCGTTCTCAAACTATTGACATTCATATACAAGTACACCATGCTTTGTCATATTCGAATTCATGCACGTAGACTCGCTCGCACGCAGATTCGTTCACAGTCAGGCGCACTCGCGCTCATATTCACCCGCGCTCAGTCTCCCTACGTACTCAGATCAATCGTTTTCGTTCGCGTTGTGTACCACGCCATTCATTTCAGCACACCCCTAGCACGGTTCGTTGCCTCATAGGGATCACCACCGGAAAAGTGAATCACAATTGCGATATTCACACCTGCATATGGTTGGGTCCTCCGTCAGGCTAATTTCCCAGCGGACTGACCTCTTTCCTGGCGGAGCGTCAAGCACAAATCCAGCTGGGTGCGCGTTTCAGAGGGATGCGCACGCCAATGTTTCAATATCCCAGTGACACATTGAGCAAATGTGCAATTCACAGTTGGCGTTCGTAACCAAATGCAGGACAATAGTACCGTATACACACATATATACACAGATAATACACATGTATGCGCACTGCCGTATACACCAGTGCATCCAACTACAACTTCACATGCAAAGCGCGTGCGTACATGTTGTATGAGGGTGCACGATCTGCGGTGCAAGCAACGTGGTGCAAAGTTTGTGGTGTGACCTAAGTTGTGAAAACTATTCGGTGCAAGCTGTGTAGCGTAAACTATGCGACGCAAAATTTGTGGTGCAAACTATGTACTGTAACCCACCTTGCGAAATTTGAAGTCGTCATCTCCACCGCTCGTCCAATCATCCCACCCTCCCACCCGCAACCTGTTTGCACAATCCGTGCGGCCGCGATTGCGGTGACTACTTGGCCCTTTCTGGCGCATCTGCGGCTGCTCGCGCGCAAAGCGGCCAGCTGGTTTGGCACAGCCGGCGCGGCCGCGAATGCGTCCATGCGTCGGTGATGAAAGTGATTGATGACGGCGGCAACGGCGGCGATTGACAATGACGATGACGGTGGTTATGCGGTGGCGCTGCTGAGGGTGATGGTGAGAAAGTGCGCGCGCGGAAATGCCAGAAACCTCGCAGGCTTTTTGTTACAAATGTTGAGTTACATTTGCGTATGTACATACTTGCGTGTACCTGTAGAACTTTATCGATTTCGAGACGCTTCGAGCACCCGGGCTTCTGTACGGATTTCGGCACGCGAAGGTGTGGCGGCGCGCGCGTGTGGCCCGCATGGTATTCCGTGGCACGGACTCGTGCAGTGGGCGCACGTTGAATCAACGCGGGTGCACCGCGTGGGGAGGTGGGAGTGCGGAGTCTTGACGATATTGCTAACATCGCACGGCTTTTAGGATTTTAGCAAAGGCGCGCGAGCAGAACATTTGCAATATTAGTAATTATCCCAGTGCGACCCTACCTAGGAGTTGGAGCATTTAGGAAAGCAACATCTACATCTACACCGACAGCTATGCTATGCTATGCTATGCTGCGCTATGTTATGCTATGCTATGCTATGCTTTGCTATGCTTTGCTATGCTTTGCTATGCTGCGCTATGCTATGCTATGTTATGCTAGGGTAGGCTAGGCTGCGCTATGTGATGCTAGGCTATGCTATGCAATGCTGCGCTATGCTATGCTATGCCATGCTATGCTGCGATATGATATACTACGCTATGCTATGCTGCGCTATGCTATGCTATGCTAGGCTATGTTATGATATGCAATGCTGCGCTATGCTATGCTATGCTATGCTATGCTATGCTGCGCTACGCTATGCTATGCTATGCTACGCTACGCTGTGCTATGCTATGCTATGCCTTGCTATGCTATGCTATGCTATGCTATGCTGCGCTATGCTATGCTATGCTACGCTATGCTATGCTATGCTATGCCATGCTATGCTGCGCTGTGCTATGCTAAGCTAAGCTATGCTATGCTATGCTATGCTATGCTGCGCTATGCTATGCTATGCTATGCTATGCTATGCTATGCTGCGCTATATGATGTTGCGCTATGCTATGCTATGCTATGCTATGCTATGCCATGCCATGCCATGCTATGCTATGCTATGCTATGCTATGCTATGCTATGCTAATGCTGCGCTAAGCTAAGCTGAGCTAAGCTAAGCTAATACAAGCTAAGCTAAGCTAGGCTAGGCTAGGCTCAAGCTAAGCTAAGCTAAACTAAGCTAAATCTAAAGCTAAGCTAAGCTAGGCTAGGCTAAACTAAGCTAAGCTAAGCTAAGTTAAGCTAGGCTTAGCTAAGATGAGATAAGCAACGCTAAGCTAAGGGGACGTAACTGGGGGAACCGCGGGGCGGATACTGGGGGAACCGCCCGGGGCGGTGTGCACTGCCCGGCCCTTTTAAGAAAGAGAGTAATAACCCTCTAGGCAGAGCCTAGGTAGGGAATGAAAACAATGCTGAGCCTTGTATGCTTGTTTTTAACACGCTTCCATACCTACCGTGTATAGTATGGCTTCGACATGGTCGCGCGCTTGTGGATGTGCTGCTTTCTGCACAGTATGATTGAACACGTGTTTTGAAATAAGCGAGTGCGCGCGCGTAATATAATTTGTCAGGGATGAGGAGGGACTCCGATGGAAAATGAGCGACGAGGTATACTCATATGTACTTTGCAGTGCCCCTAGTGTGGGTGGGTGGGGGGGCGATAACTCTGGGCTCGGGAGGAAGGTGAAATTCGATTTCTTTGTGGAAGAAGCTCATGGGTGGTGCCGGCTACGTTTTGGAAGCTGCGGGGCGCACGCGGCCACTGTGGGGTCGGACCTGTGGGGGCCATGGCCCCGCACTCTGGAGTCTTTCGCACTGGTCGGCGTGCCTTGGGGCCGTGAGGAAGAGAAACGCCCAGGATGATATCGGCGTCACCCCAACAGACTAATACTATGTGTGCGTCGCCCCCACAGGGGCGACGCGCGCACCGAGAAATTTTGTAGTATATGCGTCGTGGCGGGCGCTTTCTGGCCGCACCGCTCGGGAAACGATATACTATAACATGGGTCTACTATCTGTTCGGGTCGGACGCGCGTATCCCATTGTTTACGCTTCGCGAATCCCCGGCAGCCCATTCAGAAGCCCTGCCCACGAGAGCTGACAGGAAATGGGAAGCAGGGATGCATATCGTGAAACAGAGCGGTCAAAGAGAGGAGGGGGAGGAACGTGCATCGGAGGCCTTCTTGGAGCTATGGGGCTTTTTGGGGGCGTCTTGGGGTCCCCTTGGGGCTCTTCTGGGGCATCTTGGGGCCTTCTTAGGGCTCTTTTGGGGGTCTTGGGGTCCTCTTGGGGCTCTTTGGGACGCCTTGGGGCCCTCATGGGGCCCTCTTGGGGCTCTCTTGGGGCTCTCTTCTTGGGGCCATCTTGGGAGCTATGGAGCGCCTCCTGGGGCCATCTTGGAGACCATGGGTCAAAGGAGGGAGGGTCCTCGATTTTCGTCGCCCCTCTGGGGGGGCCCTCTGGGGGCGATCTTGGGCGCTCTTGGGGCTGTCTTGGGGGCCTGTTGGGCCATCTTGGGGCCATCTTGAGGCCTCAAAAGCGCATCGGAAGCGAAAAGGCGAGAAGGCCAGAATCATTGGTCATTCCTAGGCTTTTGGAAGGATTTTGGCTTCCCGGGGAGGTCCTGAGTGGTCTCCCAAAGCACTTGGATCCGTCTTGTGGCCTTCTTGGGGCCCCTTGGGGGCATGTTGTTAGCTATCTTGAGCAATGTTGGGCTATCTTGAGCGACCTTGGAGGCCATCTTGGGCTTTCTGAGGCCCTCTTGGAGCTATCTCGGGCTATCTTGGACGCCCTGACCGCTCGCGACCCCCCCCGTCATGGCCCAGGGGAGGGGGTAGGCGGAGGGGTAAATCCTTCCTCGAAGGGAAATAAGGGGTTGTGGAAGAGGAAAGAATGACATCGTTAGACCGCCTGTCGCCCAGAGGGCTGGCGGGATTAGTATGTCGCTCGGCGTCCCATCATATTCTCCCTGCAGCCGGCGGCAACCGCCACCAAGGCCGTTTGGTTTGATGAGCCCCCGAGGGCTGGCCTTGGGGGAGGGGGAGGGCTGCAGCCTACGATCTCTCACGCCATCAGGAACCAGGAGCCAGGAACCCAAGATGCACCCAAAACTCGTCCAGGGGAACCGAAGAGGAAAGAACGGCAGAAACACAAACTCTTGGCGCCGCTGGCGCCGCCCCTGGCGCGCTCCGCGCGTCAGCTAAGGGGGCTCCAGCGCAGATCCAAGAAATCCGCGCGGAGCGCCACAAGTGTATGTTTGTGCATTTTTTTTTTTTTTGTTATTGTTCTTCTTCTTCTTCTTCTTCTTCTAGGGAAGGGGATGAGAGTTCCAAGGGCCGTCGACTCGGAAAAGACCGGGTCGTCGGCCTGGGTCCCCCCGCCCGTCCTCCCCGCTCTCCTCCCATCGGCGGCGAAATCCCAGCTCTGCCTTCGCCGATCAACGACTCAGGCCACTCGACGGGCGGCGGGGTCAGGGCTTCTAATTCGTCGAACACGCGGGCGAAATCCGCACCGTACCCCCGCCTTCCGTCGATTCAGGAGAATCGGCGGTTGATGGGGGGAGGGTTCGGTTGTCGCCACCTGTCCCAGTTTCCCCCCCCCAGGGTGGGGTCGCGCCTGGCGGCAAGGCCCGAGCGACGGCCAAGTCCAGGCCAAGTCCAGGCCCCTCGCGGCAGCATCTTCTCACAGCGCGTGGACGCGCGTAGGCCAGTCGGCTCCCTGTCGGGTCACGCCTCGTCGCGACAGTCCAGTTCACCCCAGCATTTCGTGTACCTTCATGCCGGCCGGCTTCTCACTTCTCATCATTCTCGCGTGTTTCCACATCGTCGCACCAGCGCGCGCGCATCGGCTGTCGACCCAGCAACATTTCGGGCTCAAGCAACGCCGCCGCGTGTGCACGCCAGCCAGGGCCGTGGCCGACTGCGGTTGCAGAGCCCGCCCCATGAGGATCACAGTGCTCTACAGCGCAGAGAATGGTTCTCAGGATCTAGGCCTCCCAGATGCGATCCGAGCAGGTGGGCTCGGAGGATCGTGCTGCATCGCCGATGTGTCGGCGATGCGGCTTGATGTGGAGCCCGATTTTCTCCACGATGATGTCGGCGATGCGGCGCGATCCTTTGACCTCATCTACTCGGACCCTATCTAGGAGGCCTCTAAAGGATTTCGACGTGGACCCGTCGGACACCATCAAGTCTGTCAAGCAGAGGGTGATTTCGCAGCGCCCGCCACCCGACTGGGCGAACAGCGCGGTGCTCTTCCGCGTGTCTGCCGAGGACGGGGCCAAGGCGAGCGCTCATCTCAGCAACAAGGCCAGGCTGCAGGACTGCGAGGTGGTGGAGGGATCGCGGCTCAGGTTCGCGTATGCGCGGAGCATCTCGGCTGCGGAGAAGCTGGAGTACCACGCTCAAGGCCTCATCACTGCGGAGGAGTTCCGGGTGCCAGCCTGCACTATGGAGGCGTGACCCAGAGTGTAGGCTGCGGCGTCGAGCGTCCTGAGCAGCCCTCGTCTAAGCTAGCGATGCACCCTGTCTGCGCTGTGGCCCCAGCGCCTCTTTTTCGTTTCCCTGTTCACATAGTGGGCTTTAGTGAATCAGGCTCCACAGATGCCCAAAAGAGGAGGGAGTCACCCTCTGACCGTGAGGTCTGCCGATAAGAGAGACTCCACTCAGCAGGCAGCGGAGCGGCGGCGAGCTGCTGCCAGAATGGTGTGGGCCACCGCGTGCAGAGCGAGCGCCCGATAAATATGCATCCATCATGGCGGTCGTCTTGAAACGTCACGCCATTACGTCGGCGCCCCATGCATATCGTCTCGCCGTCGCTGGTTCTGCTTTGCCGCAGTCTTGCCACGGCCGCCGCACTCTTAAGATGACGTACGTCGCAACACCATCGCGTCACATAGGTCGGATTGGTCTGAGCGCTGCCTTTGCAACGAGCAGGGGCACACGTGGGGGTTGCCCAACACGCAGGACACAGACACAGACCATGATACCGTCGATGAAGCGCAGGGTTCGCGTTTGCTCCTCTTTTTTAGTCAGCTGGTAGAGCGGCCTCGGTCCCAGTTCGTTTCGTGCGACGGCGAAGTGACGGCAATAGAGAATTTGCCCTCGTCGTGGGGCATGCCATGTTTTGTGTTTAGCTCCGTGCCCCCGGGCTGGTCCTGTGGGAGTGTCCCGTGCGGTTGCTCCCGCGGTTGTCCAGTGATTATACCGTGCGGTTGGCGGCTTTCCCGTGGTCAGACATTGAGGCAGTTGTGTGAGTGGTTAATGTGACAATTATTTTGATAGCTCGACGGTTAGATAGTGAGTGGGGCACTCAGATCGTCTGACGGGGTGCTGGGCCCTTTTCTTCGGCTTTTGACAACAGGGTCTGATGTGCCGCTGATGCTTTTGGGCGCCACAGGTTTCGGCCATGGGCTCCGCTATGGGTTGCGGCCACGAGTTGCGCCATTGGTGGCGCCGCCTTCTGGGTGCAGCAGGCTGTGCTCGTGGGTTGCGCCCGTGGGTTGCGCCCATGTCACACCGTGGGTGCCGCTGTCTTTCGGGTGCCATCGGTTGCGCCCGTGGTGTGTGCCACGGGCTGCGGAAGTGAGTTGCGCCATCGATGGTGCCGATGTTTTTCCGCCGTTTGTGGTGCCCACGGGCTGCGCCATGGTACACCGTGAGAACTAATTCAGCAGTTAGTTGGACCGCTAGGTTGGGTCCTTCCCCCCCTCCCCCCCCGGGACCCGACCCCCCCCAGGGACCCGACCCTTGGCGGGGAAGAGGTCAAAGGGAACGGACTTCCTTTCGACTCGATTACGACCTGGCTCGATTCACTTCGGATTGGCCAGCTTGGAGAGGCAAATGTTGCCGCCAGGAAAGGAGTACAACTTCTTAATGCTTCGCGCGTCTCCACCAGCCCATCTTGGAAGGATTCTAGGGGAGCTGCCCTTGTCGGGGGAGCGTGGCATCCTTCAGATACCTCGGGGAGCCTCAGTGAACTAGAGGCCTCTTGGATGCTTGTCGGCGTCGCTTGGGACGTCTCCAGGGGGGCTCTTGGTGGCCTCTTTGGGCGTCTTGGGGGCCCGTTGGGAGCCCGTTGGGGGCCCCTTGGGGGCCCTTTGGGGGCCCCTTGGGGGCCTCTTGGGGCTCTTGGGGGCCTCTTGGGGCTTTCTTCGGGCTTTCTTGGGAGCCCTCTTGGGGCCATCATAGAGGACATCGATCAAAGAAGGGACCCTTACAGTATTACCCCTCTGGAGCCTCTGAAATCGCCTCTTGGCGCCTTCTTGGGGCACTCTTGGGGCCCTCTCGGGATCCTCTTGGGTCTCTCTTGTACCTTCTTGAAGCCATTCCAAGGCCTCGGAAGACCATCGGGAGCGCAGGGGCGAGAAGGCCGACATCATTGATTTCCCAGAGGTTTCGCAAGGATTTTGACCCATCGTGGGCGTCCGGGAGGGCCCCCAAGGACACGTGGACCCGTCTTGGAGCGGTCTTGGGACCTCTTGGAGTATGTTGGAAGCCGTTTTGAGCGATTTTGGCGCTATCTTGAGCCATCTTGGAGGCCATCTTGGGGAGCTATCTGGGGCCCACTTGGAGCCATCTGGGAAAATGTGCGCTTGTTGGGGTCACGAGACATGCTGTGCGTGCATCTGGTATGTCCTCTCTGCTGCCGGGGCGCGGGAAGCCTCGACACGCCGGCGCGCCTGCGGCTTCGCCCAGGACGCGTTGCGGCAAGAGCCGCTGCGCGAGCCGGCTCTCGGGGTCGGCAGAGAGGGGGGTGAAAAACAGAGATCTTGGGCTATCTTGGGCCTTCGGACCGTTCGCGATCCCCCCCAGACCCAGGGGGGGAAGGGTGACCCCTCCCCCACGGGGCAGAATTGGGTTGGACGATGAAACGCCCCAAACCATTTGCGCCCTAAAGGGCGGGTGGGACTTCGACTTGCAGAGCGTCTCCCAGGACCACCCCTGGACGACGCGCCGACAGGGTCGGCGGGCTTCTGTCGCGTAGCCAGAAACTGCGAAATTGCTGCTGGCTCGATCTGGTGACGCCCGAATGCGCCCAGGCGCCAGGGGCCACGATAGTGGGAGATAGGCTCAGGGGGTGACGAATCGACCCCCCATCGCCCATTCATCGCCGACAGGGGCCTGGTCACCCACCCCGTCCGGGACCGTGTGGTTTCGCGTTCGGGGGCCCCTCGCCGAAACATCGGCGATGCATCTCAGGAGGAAAAGAAACACACAGACACAATTAATCCTCGATCCCCCAGAAAATTTAGGAAAATATGGGAAGTGGGCGGGAAGACAGAACCGCAGAACATATAGGAAAGTGTGGGGACTCTTTTTATTGGTGTGTGTATTTATTTGTGTGTCCGTGGGCCCCTTCAGCATCGCCGAGGCGAGCTCGGTGCTCCCCCCCGGCAGTTCCCTCGCTCTCGCCTCCGCCTCGAGGTGGTGGCTCGCCGGGGCAAGCAGGTCTGGTCCTTCGGCAGCAACGTCCAGGGCCAGCTGGGGGTGGGCCCGAACACCACGGGGAACGGCATGCAGCTCTCGCCCGCGCCCCAAGCCCGGCTCGGCGAGGGTGCCGCGCACGCGGCTCTGCGTGCGTGCGCGCTCGGATCCGTGGGATGACTCGTGTGGCCTCGTGTGGGTGCGGCTGCTCCAGGTCTCGTGATACGAGGGAGGGGTCCCAGCCCTCCCAGGCGAGCAGTTTTGCACCCCCCGGGACGGTCATGAAAAAGGGCGACCTCTTGCCCAGGCCCCCTAAAAAACTAGAGGATGGCTCCAAGCAGACCCCCCACGAATGAGACCACCCCCTCCTCTCATGAAATCCACGGAGTGTGCAGGAGTGCACGCGCAGGCTTGCCACACATATTCGAGCATTTTTGTACCTGTGTGTGTGTGCGCGTATTCCCCAAGCAGTGCTTGCACTTCGGGGTCCTCACTTCTGTTACCAAGTCATGGGATGGGCCTGGCGAGGTCTCGCCGCGCACTGCCGCCCGCTGCCGTCCGCTGCCGCCCTGCTCGCCGGGCGGGTGCCGAGAGGCCTCGCCACGCCGCCGCCCGTTGCCGCCCTCGCCGCCGCCCGTGGCGTACGCCACGTGTGCTGCACCGCATAGCTTACAGCACACAGCGTGCACCTCTGAGTTGACGCAGCCACAGTGCAGCGAAGTACTGCTCGGGGTCCACCTCGGCTAACACACATGTGTGTGCATACTCTAGTTACAATATGTTTGTCGATCTATACATGCTTGCCACATGTTCCCCAATCAGGGCGTGCCTCTGTAGGGGTCCCATGGGGGGACCTCCGAGTTTTCATGCTTATGCCACTTTTTGTTTCCCTATAACTGGCCCTGGCTTTGACAGATCTCGGCTGTGCGGCATTCTGCTTCAGTCTTCGTACGCCCCGACACATTGATTTGCTTCAGATGTGTGCGTTGCTGTGCTTGTGTTTCGGCCGCCCAAAGTCGAGTCTGAACTGTAAGGTGTGCCCACGTTCGATGGGCTCTCGACATGAGTCGAAGTGGAAAAGTGTGTTGCACGGCCGTCGCCCCCAATTTAGCATAGACTCGGTGGTTATGGACACAACTGTAACGTTTCCTGTTGCATGATTTATTGTGCTGGCCTCACGGCCGGTGCCGCCGATCCAGAAGGACGACGACGACGACCATGACGACGACCACGACGACAACAACGACGAGCCGACGACCCTGTCACAATTTCGGGACATGGGGCGGGCGGTGGAGAGAGGAGGAGGAGGCGGAGGAGGAGGCGGATGAGGAGGAGGAGGAGAAGGAGGGGGAGGGGGAGGGGGAGGGGGACGAGGAGGAGGAGGAGGAGGAGGAGGAGGAGGAGGAGGAGGAGGAGGAGGAGGAGGAGGAGGGTGACGTTTCCTGTTGCATGTTTCATTCCGCCGTCTTCCCCAGGTCTCCAGGGGTCTCTGGAGGTCTGCAGACGCCCCTGGAGAGTCTGGGGGCTTTCGGAGGTCTCCCAAGGTCCCCGGAGGCCTCCACAGGCTTCTGGCGTCCTACAGGGGGCATACACGGTCGGACCGCGGCATAAGATCGAGGTTGGTTCGTGGAGGGTGCCCTGAGGTTCTTCGTGCTCGTTGGATGTTCTCGTGCATCCTGGGGGAGGGCACCCTCGAGCGGTCTTCAGTTTGGGCCGGCGGAGGGTCCCGTGCTCCTGAAGGATATGCTCTTCTGCCCCGGGTCCGGCCTGTGCAGCGGCCGGAGAATTTGGACCTCCCCTCCGTCGCCCCTCGCCTCGGGGTGCGCGCCGTCGCTCGCTGGCAGGGACGGCCCTCCCCCAGCTGTCGCTGATGTGCTCGGTGTCGGGAGCCTTGAGCCGGGGGTCCCATGCATGCAGCGGTCAGCCAGGGCGCCAGATCTTGCAGGATCCTGAAGGGCCAGGGGTGCATTGGCCCGGGTCTGGGTGCATGGTCTTGCAAGATCTGGCAGGATTTTTCGCATGGACCCGGGTTTGGGTGCAGGATCTCGAAGGATCTTGCAGGATTCTGCAAGGCCTGACTGACCCGGGTCTGGATCGACCTGGGTTTGAAGCTCCCCGACGGTGTTTCCGCTGAGAGCCGAGCCGAACCGAACTTCTCAAGGTCGCCCGCTCTCATCCACACGCTGAGCGGCCAGCGCGACATCGAGGTCACGCAGGTGGCGGCCGCCTCGTGCCACTCGCTGGCGCTGGCGCGCTCGGGCGAGGCACCCCCGGCTGCTTGCGGAGGAGGGGGGCGGCAGGTTTGCGCCGCGTCGACGCGGCGGCGGCGGCGCCAGCGCGATCGTTCTCGCATGAATCAGGAGGAACAAGAAGCACAAGCACAAGTAGTCGTCGATTCCCCAGAACAGATAGGAACATATGGGAAGTGGGGGGAAGACGAACATCCAAGAAGTGTGGCAACATATCGGGGGTCGGTACTTCTCCAACGCGCCATGCACTGAGGGAGGCCCCGTAGTATCTCATGCATCAGTCCACAATGTCAGCCGCTGTGTCCTGACAAGGGGCCTCGCTCAGCTGCAGCGTGTGTGCACCTGCGCTCACCGAGTGTGCACGCGCACTCCCGTTGAGCACGGCGTCTTCGAACCTCATCCGCCTGGCGTGTGACGGTCTGTGAGCTGAGTTGCCCTGATACGCCCGTGTTGGGTCGCAGCACGTGCCGTGCTCAAAACGCCCGCGTTACCACGCTGCGCGCTGGTTCGGCACGTGCTGGTCCACGTTTCGGCGAACGCATCGCGCCAGACCTACGTTTTCCGTCTGCGTGTTGAGCTCCGTGTCAAGACGCTACGCGTTGCGTGCTGCGTATCGGGGCAGCTAAGTCTTTCAGTCTTCCTGGCCTCCGCGTCTCTGCTCGCAGCGCGCCGCTCCGAATCTCTCCAGAAAGCTACTCTCTGGGCCAGCGCGCCTCGACGGCACAATCACTGGCGTGCCCGCCCGTCTTGTGCTCTCATTGCCCCTGGGCATCAGCGCACCCCCAAGCACGCATGCTGGCCTCTGAGGCTCTAGCCTGTGAGCGGAAGGGAGGCGACGGGAAAGCAGATGACTTCTCCCTCTCCACCTCCCCCCCCGCCTCCTCCGATCCCCTGTTCCCCTCCTTCCTCCCTTACCCTCTTCCCCTTTCCCCCTCCTCCTCCTCCGCCTCCTCCTCCCGCCGTACCCATTTTGGCTCAAGCCATTTTGGCTCAAGTGCTGGGGCGCTTGGGTGGGCAGCCTCTCTTGAAGGGGCGATCTTGGGGTCAAATCCAAGCGGACACAAAGTTTCTCGCGCCGCCGTGCCGCTCTCGCCTGAGGACCTCCAGGCCGTCAGCGGTGTCATCTCGGTGCACGTCTCGCCTTTGAGGGACGACCTGAAGACCACCGTTGGGCGTGTACGTGAGCTGGACGAGAAATTCTCAGCGCAATTAGCTGACATGCGCTTTGAGCAGGAGAATCTGACAGTCCAGGTGCAGGAGGCCAGGACGCTCGCCTGGAACACCGCCAGCGCTCCTCCCATCGACGAGGGCGACCCGACAGCTTTTGAGGTCCCCCCCGCCGCCGTCACAGTTCATCACCGCGGCCCAGCTGGACGCCAAGCTAGTCACCATGGAGAGCACGTTGATGAAGGCGATGAATTCCGCTCCCGGGTCGCGTGCGTCAAGTGGCGCGCCGTGGGAAATATGTGACCCTTGAAGACGGTTGAACAGCACTAGCCACGGCAAGAGACAATGTCAAGCCCTCCTGGACGCGGTCGTGTTTCGACTGGTGCTGCTCCTGATCGTGACGTCCGTGGTGCTCGTGGAGACCCCCCGTAGAGAGATGGAGGTGAAACGGGAGATCGAACCAGGATCTGGATTCGTGGTTTTATTAGGAAGCTGCTGTCTCGAGTCTTCCAACAACACCGCGAGCTGCTCAAAGGAGCGGCTGGATCGTTACTTGACGGTGCCATTGCCCACTGCCAGAGTTTCAAGTTTTGCGACAATATCCGATTTCAGTCCGGGGGTGCTGCGAGGGCCTTTTCAGTTGGGACAAGGAGGATGGATCTGCTATGCATTTAGTTTTGTAGAGACCCGACTAATGGACAATACTATCACTTCGAGTGGGATAGGATCAGCTTTTACACGTTCGGCACGAGAGTTTCGCGTTGGAGAAGTGCTGGGAAATAATGTGTACCATGTTGAACGAGCGTGGCCAGTTGAAGGAGTCATACACATTGGGATCGGACCCGTGCGCGGGCATGCTTCATCTTACATGCTGCGAGATGGAAGAACTGTTCGATTCAGTCAAGTTGTGTTCAGGAGTGACCCTTGCGGAGGAATGGATGCATTCACGATCGTGGTCATTGAAGATGCTGAGCAGTTTAACCTGCGCGTCGCTGTCTTGAATTCGCTCCCAGAGCTTGTCCTGGCAAGTTGGACAAGAAACCTATCTAATGGTGTTCTCAGACGAAGTAGGTGAAGCCTCGCAGTGTGAATCGCCTCGTGCATGATGGACCTTGCGGCGATGTGTCTGGTGGCAAGGTGACCTTGAAGAGGAAGTGCGCCTCCTCCACGTCGTCCAGTGGGTCCTGTTTGTCCTCCTCCCCGAGTGGAAGCTCTTCTCCTGGGGCGCCTGGGAATGCTGAGGCCGTCGGGCCTGCGCCTCGCGTTCCTGCTGGCGTGGGGGAGTTCAGGTACTCGCCGTCTCCTTCTCCTGCTGCCCCGCCATCTTCTGCTGTGTTGCGTCGACCCTGGCGCGTCGCAGACGCTGCTTCAACTGCGTGTTGGACTGCTGCTGATCTCCTTGGAAGTTGGTGGGGGTGATCATGCCCGTCAGTGTACGATGCGCTCGTGGCTTGCCCGTCTCTTCGCGCAGTATAGGGTAAGTCTCTTACCGGAAACTCAAGGGTCCAAGGCGGAGCTCGGTAGTTTAGATAGAGAGTATCCACGATTTTATCATGCGGGCTCGTTTTGGAAATATCACCGTTCGGAAGGGTGGTGGTGGTGGTGGTGGTGAAGTTGGCATTGCCAGGCCCCTCTTCAAGTTCTTCTCCCACTTATGGGTTGAATTTGTTCTAGCTGGGAGGTTTATTGTGCTTCGCTTTAGATGTCCACTTGGGGCCAGATCTTTCCCGACTTATTGCCGATGATGCGTTGTATCGGTTTTCTCGTGCTTTGCCTGGCCAGGGCCTCGCACTCAGCATTGCAAGTGGACATTGGAATTCCAAGGGGAGAAGCGAAGTCAGGCGCGACATTAACGGGGCAGCGACGACGGATGACGATACCCTGTTACTTGATCGTTTCTCCGAGCTCGTTGCCCAGTCGGTTGATATGTTTCAGACCGACATGGGCCGCCGCGCTGCTTGGCCGCGTGATGATGTCCCTCACTTGCATGCGCCTGCTCGTCCTGATCGTATCTGTTGGAGTGCCCCAGCTGCCGTTATCCTTGGTGGGCATGTAAGATCGGGTGCCAATGAATTTGCGCATGGCTTGAGTTTTCCCGCTGACCACGGCCCCGTGTTCGTCCAGATCACGGTTGCGATTTACGTGGGTTCATGGTTTCGGGGACGCGAATATTGAGTAATTTGCAAGAAGGTTTATGGCTTCGGGGACGCGAATATTAAATACTTTTCCACGGTTTGTGGCTTCGGGCACGTGAGCATCGTATAATTTATTAGGGTTTATGGCCCCGGGGACGCACACATCGCATTCATTACAAGGGTTTTTGGTTTCGGGGGCGCAAGCATATGTAAATTACGAAGGTTCATGCCCTCGGGTACGAACATATTCTATGATTTATAACGGCGTATTGTTTCGGGAATGCATCTATTGAGTCATTTATGAGGGGTTGTGGCTTCGGGGGCGCGATGGTGGTATATTTTTCGAAGGCTTATTGCCTCGGGAATGCAAATATGGAGTAATGTATCAAGTTGCTGGCTTCGGGAATGCGAATCTGGTATACTTTGCAAGGGTGTATGGCTTCGGGGATGCGCATCGCAAGGGATTTATGAGGGTTTCTATTTCGGGGGTGCAACTAGTGTATAATCAACAAACGTTCTTTATGGTTTCGGTTACGCGAATATGATTTAATTTGCTAGGGTTTATGGTTTCGGGGGCGCGAATATTGGTTAAAAGGTTTATGGCCTCGGGGACGCAAGGTTTGTGTAAATTGTAAGGTTTCATGGTTTCGGGGATGCGAATATCGTATAATGTATGGCTTCGGGGACGCGAGTGTCAAGTAAGTTATTAGGTATTATGGTTTAGGGGATGCGAACATGTTATGAATTACGTAGGTTTATGGTTTCAGGGACGCGAATATTTAACCTCATGCCCGTGAGAATAAACACTAGGGGATAATAAAGTTCGGGGTTCAGGGAGAGATAATAAAAGTAGCCCAGCAGACCTCAGCATAATCTCGAAGTAAGAGATGATCAAGAGGAGACCAAGCCGAGCACGTTTTGAGACATCCTTGGCGTTTAGTTTTCCTAGAAATATCTTCAACAATGTCTTATCTCTCATTTTTTTTTTTTTTTTTTTTTTTTTTTTTTTTTTTTTTTTTTGTAAGTGCTCGTGTAGGGTAGCTCATGTGCCTCAATTTCCATGGATAATCAACCCCAGAGATAAAAAAGTTCAGGCGAGCGTGGGGACAGAGAGAACTATAAAAGAAGAAGAATACAGTAGAATAGTAATAAGAAAGAAGAAGAAGAGGATACTAAGAAGAGGACGAAGAAAGGACAAATCCAAAGTCCCAAATCTATCAATTTTAATTTACAAGCGCTTTATGAAAATTGTTTTTTTTTTTAAGTGGTAGCTCATGTGCTTCATTTTCCATGGATAATCAACCCCAGGGATAAAAAAGTTCAGGCGAGCGTGAGGACATATATAAATATAAAAGAAGAAGAGGAAAGTATAATAATAATAAGAACATTGCTCGTTTCGTTTGAGTCTGCCTCCCAAAATTATTGGTTTCGCTTGACACATCCTGAAAAAGTGTGATCACTTCGCTTGATGTTGCTATATCAACATCGCTTGATGTTGCTATCTCAACATAGCGTTTCGAGGTGATAATGAAGTTCGGCCTCATCGCTCGCCGCCCAATTTGAATTTTGTATAGGGCGACGATAATCAACTCTAAACACTGAAGGGGGGGGGTCCCTTTATTATCATCGGCATGCTGTTAATAATCTGCAAGGTTTTATGGTCTCGGGGGCGCGAATATTTTGTAATTTGCTAGGTTTTTTTGGCTTCGGGAACGCGAGTATCATGTAATTTACGGAGGTTTGTGGCTTCGGGGACGCGACTATTGTCTAATTAGGAATGGGTGTGGTTTTGGGGACGCAAGTTTATTGTAATTTAGGATTTAGGCCTTCGGGGACGCGGGTATGGTGTAGTTTACTAGAGATTGTGGCCTCGGGGACGCGAATACCATGTATTTTTACGTGTCCCATGACCCCCCTGGAATTCAGAACACGCGATGCGGGGGTGCTAGCCAGGACTCTTTTCGGCTCCCCCCCCTTCGCGCGTTCAGCGACAATTAACAGTAAGGAAGCAGAAAGTAGGACTGTAACACTAGAAAGTGGAAACTGCAACTGGAACAGGGAGCTGCAATCCTCATCCTCGCACCCGGGTGGCCCCGCAAGGGGGGTCGGCGGACTTGAAAGATGTCTTTGCCAGGCGCGCTTGTTATATCCACTCGTGAGCACCGCATGGTATTACTTGAGGGATGGCGAGGGTGAGTCGATACCGACTTGGCTGGGATGGCACCACCATTGCAGATGTGTAGCCCCGAGAGGGGGCGTCAAGCCAGCTACGGCCTCAGGGTTGAGCTTGATTTTCAGAATTGTAGTGGAGTTTGGGTGGTTCTGCCTGCCGGGTGCACCTTGCGTCGTGCAATCTGTGGCCTGCAGCCTATGAGAGGCTGTCTGAGTGGTGCAGGCGCCGGCCAGCGCGCGGGGCGGAGACGAGGCTGGCACGGGCGGGCACCGAATGAAAAGCCAGAGACGCCAGCCACGGCGCGGGGGGACGGGCAGGCGGGCACGAGTGGACACCCGAAAACGCCAGTCAATGACGTTGCAGAGCAATTGGGAAGCCCTGGTGCAACTACAGCCGAGGCTGACCAGGAGGTCGACCCTGCCAAATCAAGGCTGCCCTTGTGTCCCGAGTTTCGCGACCCGTGCCTTCTACATTCCTATGTCAATGTGGCCCTCGGAACGGTCTCGTGTCCTCTCGCGTGTCCTCTCTAATCAGCCCCGACCGTACTTGAGTGGTTGGGGGTAAAGCCACGATCCTGGATCTTCGATCCCCCTGCGAGGTCTTGCAAGTACATGGGGCCTATCTTTGATGCTCTTTGGGCCATGTCAAGCATCTCGGAGGCTGTCAGGGCCCATGTTGGCGCCATCTTCGGCGTTTTTTGTGTGTTACAATTTGAGGCTTCAGATGCCCATCGAAATTCGGTGAACCCCTGTTAAAGTTTGACTGGTTTTGGCCTGTGGGGTATCCTTGGGAGGGTTCGTACCCATTGTGGGCCGTCTTAGAGGCATATCATGGCCACTTGGAGGCATGTGTGACGCAATGTTCCAAAGTTTGTCTGGAGGTTTATTCATTCGGCGAGAACTCCTACGGCCAGCTGGGCTTCCCGCCCGCCGGCGCTGGGGTGCCGAGCGCCGGGGTCGCGCGCACCGTGCAGCAGCGGAAGAAGGCCGAGATCGACGCGCCGCGCGCGCCTCGGATGACCCTCCGGCGGCCCTCGGCTGGCTCTGTGGCGGAGTCGTCCTCGTCGTCGTCGTCGTCGTCGTCGTCGTCGTCGCCGCCGCCGTCGTCGTCATTATCGTCGCCGCCGTCGTCGTCGTCGTCGTCGTCGTCGTCGTCGTCGTCGTCGTCGTCGTCACCGCTGCCGCCGCCGCCGCCGCCGCCGCGGTCGTCGTCGTCGTCGCCGCCGTCGTTCGTCGTCATCGTCGTCGTCGTCGTCGTCGTCTTCGTGGTCGTCTTTGTGGTGGTCGTCGTCGTCGTCGTCGTCGTCGTCGTCGTCGTCGCCGCCGTCGTCGTCATTATCGTCGTCGCCGTCGTCGTCGTCGTCGTCGTCGTCGTCGTCGTCGTCGTCGTCGTCGTCATCGTCCTCCGTAGCCATTTTGGCTCAAGACCAATGCTTCCGCGGGCTGAGCCCGCATTGGCAAGACTGGATACCGCTAGTCCGCGGCAGCTTTCATCCCTCACGGAGGTCCCTCGTCCCCCAGTGCGCGACCAGTGGCTCCCAGTGGAGTGCGCACCGGGGGCGAGGGGTTCGCTAGCCTCCATCCCTCACCAGACATGTCCAAGCCTGGCTATGTCAAGTGTGCGGCGTGCTCGTACAACTGGACGTGGAAAGGCAAAGACAGGTGCTTCAGCTGCGGCAAGTCGCTCGAGCTGGCGGTCACCCCTTGGCGCAGCCAGCAGCCGCGCGGGGCATGGGACACGCGCGTGCACGCTGCGCTGCAGGGCGAGCAGGCGGGCTGGCAGGACGGCTGGAAGCCATGGAGCGCCTGGCCCAAGTCCAAGGGTGGCCGCAAGCGGCAGCCGCAGTCACAACCCTCGTCCAAGCCGCCCGACGCCGAGCCGACTGACACTGACTCCCTCCTGGCCATGCTGGACAAATCTCTCTCGGAGGAGGCCCGCGCCGAGCTGGCACTCTTCAAAGACAAAATCGCACCGCCTAAGCCAGCTCAGCAGGAGTCACTCGACGCGAAGTACCAACGTCTCCTGGCAGCTGAACGTAAGGCAGCGGCAGCACTTACGAAGGCGGCAACCTCGGAGGGCAAGGCCAAGGACTGGGTCGTCCAATGCGAGGCCCACACCCAGCACTGCGCGGAGGCCCTCGGCGACGCCCAGGCCGCGGTGCAGGAGACCCTCGACGCGATCAACGAGGCGCGCGGCACGCGGGCGCCCTCGGCTTTCAAGTCGACGGCAGGTGGCCTCAACCTCAGCAAGCTCCTCCTCAGCGGGGAGGACCTCGCCTTCGAGGAGGGCGAGGCCTTCGACACCTCCGACCTCGAGCTCGACGCCGAGGACTCCAAGAAGTGGGCCGACCTCAAGCAGCAGTTCCTCGACGAGCTCAAGACGAAGGTCAAGGAGGTCTTCGGCTCAGGCGCCACGGCCATCCAGCAGCGCAAGCAAGAGCTGGAAGCCTTGCGCAGCAGGCTCCGCGCCAAGCGGCCTCGCACCGAGGCCGACGGCACTGGGGCTCAGGCCGCCGAGGCGGGCACGGGCAGCGCCGCGGCACCACCCGCTGCTGCAGCTGGCGGTGGTGATGGTGGTCGCCCTGGCCCTGAGGCTGCACCTCCTACCGCCGCGTCCGCCGCCGCTACTGCCGCAGCCAGTGCAGCAAAGCGATCGGATGCAGCCACCAAGCTCGCTGAGGCCGCAAGGGCTCGCGCCCACGAGGAGCGAACCAAAGATAAGGAGGACCTTTAGCCAGCCCAGCTTTCGCACGATCTACGTGCGTAACATTACCGACTGGGGGCCAAAGTGCAAGAAGATCGTGAAGTCGCCGCCGTTCCAGGCGGACATCCTCGGACTATTGGAGACTCATGAGAGCGAGCGCACCAGTGACGCAGTGCTTGCAGAGTTTGATGCATCAGCTTGGAAGGCAGTTATCTCACCGTCGCGAGCCGACGGCACAGTGCAGAAGGCAGGTGGAGTGGTCCTGGGAGCTCGACGCCACCTGCAGTGTTCATCATTGGGCCACCTGGCCCGCTACCGCAACCAGACAAAGGGGCAGTTGCGCCACAGGAAGCCAGAGCCGCACTTCGTCGCAGGGCCCATTGACTTCTGGGACTTCCAGGCGCTCACCATCCAGATGCATCATGGCCAGCTCACGGTGCTCATCGTGTACCTCACCACATCCATCGGGGTGGCTGGCCAGAATCTCATCAAGCTACAGAACCTCGGGGCCGTTATCAAGAGTCTCATGGGGGACTGGATCGCGATTGGCGACTGGAACCTGGTACCGACGGAGCTGGAGGAGTCAGGATGGGTCAACTACGTCGACGGCCGCATCTGTAAGCCCTCCAATGTCTCTTTCACTCAGTTCACAGGAGGCCGCATGTTGGATTACGCGGTCATCGGAGGGCCAGGTCATCACGTGCCCGCCAAACTCTTTGCGGACACAATGGGGGGCCACAAGAGCCACATGGGCCTTGTGGCCCAGTATACCTCGCAGTCGGCGCCAGCATGGGCTCTGATCCTGCCGACTCCCTTCTCCTTCGCGCACCCTCCAGCGGAGCAGAAGGCTGCGGACCCGAATAGCAAGCGCTCACGGGCCAAGCGCGAGGCTGAGCAGCGCAGGCTCGAGCGTATGCAGGACAACCCCTTGGAGGCCCTCAACCCAGAGGTCACCGAGGCGGCGTCTCAGCAGCAGCCTGTGGATGGCCCACCCCTGCCCGCGCACATGTGCGGGCCGCCTTCGAGCGGAGGCCGCGCGGCGCCAGCCGACCTGCCTTCGCGGGCCCCCGATGGCCCTGCGATCTGGCGGTCGGCCGAGGCAGGGGCAGCCCCCAGTGCTGCGGAGGCGCATGACATGGACCACGACGAGCAGCAGTCCCACGACCGTTTGCTGGGCTTCCCGATGACGCCGCCGTGCCCGACGGTGGCCAGGCTCACGGCGGCAGAGAAGGGCGAGCTGTGGGCACAGGTCTGCCATCGCCAGGTCCAGTACGATGCACCGCCCGACTACATTCGGGACTCCCAGGCGTACCAGTCCTCGTCCGAGGCCGCCGACGACTTGGGCATGCAGTACGCCAGATGGATCACGCACGTGGAATACTTCTATACTGACATCATGAATGTATCAGCTGATGAGCGGCACCGCTATGTTGGCCGAGGCATGGCACGCGCTCCTGCGCATATGAAGATCCGAGCACCTCGAGCAGGCACGGGGGCATGCACCTCCAGTCGGGCAACGCGATGGTGGAGCACTATGGCAGCATGTACTCAGCTGCTGGCAAAGGCCATGGCCAGGACGAACGACGCGCTCTCCGAGGCTGGCGAGAACGCGGCGGACATCATCTACACCCATGCACACGCTATGCCCGACGACAACCTTGTGCCTATCGACAATGCCACCAAGCTCAAGTGGCAGCATGGTTTATCAGCTGTGCGTGATTGGACCACTGGCCAGGCTGCCACCATGGCCTATGCACTGGGGATCCTGGCCGACAGATTCCAGCGCGCTGAGGTCCGACAAGGACTACAGGCCTTCCAGGAGTGGGTCGTCCAGTGCACGGCCAAGAAACCCAGCAAGGTCCTCAAGTGGAGCACCGACTCAGCGGGGCCGATCATGGAGTACGGGTTCGGGCCCGCGGCCTCCACCGACCTGTTTAGCATCATGGAGGGCAAGCGAGGTGCATGGGCGCAGCGCTGGAGCGGCACGGTGAAGCTCTCCGACCTCCAGGCGTTCCGCCGCAAGTGCAAACGCCTTGCGGAACATGAGGACGCATGGCAGCCCATAGATCCCTACCTCATCCACGAGAAGGCCACCGTCCTGCCCAACGCCACGGGCCGTGGCAGCGACAACCTCGGCCCCTTGGACATTCGCAACCTGCCGTTCCAGGCCAAGCAGGACTTGGCCGACTTCTTCAACCAATGCGAGAGGCAGATGGCGTGGCCGTGGCAGCTCATGAGTGTACTGGTGGGCATGCTTCCGAAGCCAGACGGCTCGGAGAGGGGCGTTGCATTGATTCCATGGCTCATGCGCTTCTGGGCGCAGATGCGTAAGGTCATTGGGGCCGACTGGTGCGCGGCCAAGGCCGGGCACTGGGACCAGGCCATCAAGGGCAGCAGTGCCCTCCAGTGCGGCATCTTCCGCCTGTTCTGTGACGAAGTCGATGACGAACTGGACATACACTATGCTAACGTGATGTGGGACTTCGCAGAATTCTACGACAGCGTCAACCCCATCATGGCATTCGAGGCGGCGCTCAAGCTTGAATTCTCGCCCAGGAAGCTCGGCATGGCGGCGGTCCTGTACATGTCGCCGAGGATGCTGCGCTCCAGGGGCGCGATCGCTGCACCCATTCAGCCCACGGGATCGCTCTTGACTGGAGATAGCGATGCAAATAATCTTGCCAGAGCTGTTTTATATGATTTGCTCGATGATATCCACCGCCAGTTTTTACCCAGAGGTGTCAGATCATACCAATGGGTTGATGATATAAACCAGCGCGCTGAAGGGCCGAAACATGTCCTGGCTCCCGTCCTAGCCAAGGCGGCCTCAGTTTTCTTCCATGGTGCCCGTTCCCTTGGCCTCGACATCTCGGGGAAGTCTGGGGTTATCGGGACTGACATCGACATGGCCAAAGCAGTCTGCGCTGAATTTAACAAGAATGTGTCAGAGTTTCAACTTAAACCTAGTGCTGTGATCGCTGACCTTGGGCTCGAAAGGGGGTCCAGAAGGCAGAACAAAATCAAGCACAACAAGCGTGTCAGCCAAGCGTTCCGCCAGCTTTCTAAGTTTCGCAAGGTTTCTAAGTTTAGTCGCATCCGCCTAGCCAGGCGGAAGCTGACCCTGATGTCTCCTGTGCCCCGCATTGCCTACGGAGCTATGGCTACAGGCATGGCCCCGTCCCAGATTGTGAAGGTTCAACGCGCTGTGGCGGGGGCGCTTGGGGGTCGCAAGGCTGGACGTTGCCTGACTGCCTACCTGGCGCTTGAACTGGGGAATCGCAACCCAGGCATAGAACTTAGAGTCCGCCAGTTGCAGACTTGGTTTCAGTTTATCACCCGTGACAAAGACAGTGAGCACGTCCTTCCCAGACTTGCCAGAGCTTGGCCCAAGGTGGCCAACCGTGTCGCCCAGACCCCGAAGACCGACCGCTGGAGACATGTCCGAGGACCGATGGCGGGGGCGGTCGCGGCGCTTCTGGATGCGGGTTGGACGGCCACTGATGACACGTATTTAACCTGGTGCTCACCAGTCACAGACGACTGGTGGCGACTATCACTGCAGTCTGGCGATATCGACTACGAACCTTTTCTTGAAGAATTCACCCAGAGCCTGTGGAGCCAAGCGTGGAAGCAAGCTAGCCAGCACTACTTGGGCGGGGGGCTGGAGGGTGGGGCGGACCTCTTCTCCCTGCGGCAGTCCCTCCGCACCTTAGACAAGATGACCTCCACAGCTGCTCCAGGCATCAGGGGTAATGTTATGGCCATGGCAACTGGATCAACTTGGCCGAGGTCTCGACTTTGCGAGGCTGGCATCTTCGGCGAATCCGACTCATTTTGTGTGCGGTGTAATACCAATCAGCCAGAGACTCCTTTTCATCGATCTTGGCAGTGCAGCGCCAACTCTCATCTGGACGTCTGCCGCGAGACGGCGGACCTCGAGCAAGAGGCCGCCGATGGATATCAGCAGTTTCCTTGTTTCTGGCTTCGAGGTCTCATCCCAGCGTCGTGGACCGTTGTCGATCCCCCCCTCAGTGAGGCCCACGCGTGGACGTGGCAAACCCAACCCGAGGCCATTGCCAACCTCGAGCCAGGGACCCAGTTTGGGGGGGCGGGTGACGGCTCTGGAGGAGCCCACACCAAAGACCCTCGCCTCCGTAGATGTGGATGGGCATTTACCCATCTTGCCGCGTGGTGTAAAGACCCTAGCTGGAACCAGATTGGGCCCATCAAAGGCCAAGCGGGGAACCTCCCAGGGCCCAAGCAGTCTAGCAACCGTGCCGAATTGCTGGCTCTCATTTGCTGGCTGGAGGACCTCCCCCTTGAGTTTAATCTACCGCCTGACGGCGAGCTTCACTTTATAAGTGACTCGGCCTATGTGGCCCGTGGCGTGTGTCGGCCCGATGCCAGCAAACCCAGAACGAATA